AGTCCCAGCCGCTTCTGTGTCCGCCTATGCGTCGACGGAAAGGCAGCTCGCGCCGCACAGCTCCGACTTCCTCCTCCTCCTCCTTTCTTTTTTTTCTCGACTCGGTGAGCCCGTTCGAGTCGCGACCCCCGTCGAGCAAGTGGCGAACAGTGATCGCGTGACCGTTTCGTCCGTGGATCGTGGAGAACCCGAGGATACCGATTTCGAGCGACGCATCGTCGCGCGGCTCCCGTCGCCGGACAGTTTTGGTGAGTTCAAGCAACGAACGATCGAAAAGAATCGATCCGGCGAACCCGTGGATCGCCGGATTCGAGGCGGGACAGGTGGACGGAGCTCGAGTCTAATTACGGGAGGATGACAACACCGAAATTCGCTTCGGTGCGCTTTCGGTTTCTATTATTTCGGTTCGCGTCGGTGTTCGTTTATTTCGGTTGATGACAGGAAAGTGTCCGGCCGGGACCAGCTGATTTCCTCCCGCCGCCATCGCGGCGGAGTTAATTAGCGAGCGAACGGTGCGCGCCGGGCAATAAATCGTCATTCCTGATGACACTAATACGCTCTGTTCTCTCTCACGAACGCTTCCGCGTGTAACACCTCGCTCTACTGCGTGTAATCGCGCTAGCGAGCGAGCGATACGCACGCACGCACGCACGTACGTACGTACGTTCGCCGACAGACGGAACACGCAGAAGGAAATGACCAATCAACGCGGACCTTCGTGTAGAACTGGCCAATATATTTCCTTGTGGGCGCGTGAGAGACGATTGACACACGAAAGATCCTTTCTACTCGGATGGGACACCGCGATTAGACGCGGTTTACGCGTTTTTCGTTGAACACGTCCGTCTGTGTTTTCTTACATTTGATTCTATTGATATCGTTTTTCTTCATATCGGATTTCATCTTTAATGTACAAAGATCTTAACCCTTTACTCGAGAAGCGCCCTTTAGTCACTGATTTGATACAGCAAAATTGTAAAGTTTGATATTTGATGTTTCATTTTGTATAGCGCATCAATAATGAATTAATTTTAAAAGATAATAGTTTCCTTCCTAAATGCGTCCGCTACTTTTTCGCTAAGTCGATTTCAACAAATTTCCTCCGCGTCTCATTAGGAAATATTCATCTCCAGTGAACTCCTGGACTGCGAAGGATTAACAAACATGGATTCAAATTGAAGACTAGTACGCTGCAATTGGAAACAAGAAAATATTCAGATTCTTCAAGAATGTAACACTTCGTTTCGTTTTTAAAACGAGTAGCCTGCTCGTCTCCGACGCTCTAGCGTGCCAGGGAAAACAAGGGATTATCTGTGTTCCAGATGTTTTATCCACAAACATCATAACGCGGGATTACGTTATCATTGAGCTTCGACAGAGAAAAGCGTCAGTCGGGCGTCCTCGCGATCAACGATCGCCGATGTAGTTGCGCTATGTCAGAAAGTACGGAATCGTGGAACTGGCGGTTAGTAATCGTACGATCATCTGATACGGATACGTAATCGATCGGAATCCACCTTGCTATCGAGAAAAATAGAAATGACAAGATAATCCACTGTTTTCTAACAGCGCGATAACCGGTCGATTCGAACGTAGCGAAAAGTAATTTCTATGCTCTCGAACGTGCGATATCGACGCATATTTATTCATTGTTTCGATCAATACTACATGAATTATACACTTTTAATTAAGTTATTCAATTATTGCATAATGCAGGCGACACAGTGATAATTGGAATAAACTCTAAATCAATACCGAAACGTCCACATTATTATTATTATCATCATTAACGTCGCTCGTACACCGTTCAGTCAACGCTTCGACAGCTGCGCCTCTCATTGCAAAATTCATCGCGTACCATAATTTGCTACAGGAAATCAAATACTTTTCATTGTTCTCTAACGGATATATATCTGTACGAAAGGAAGTGATTAGTTACGAAACCAAATGATGTCTCTCGCGTGTCACGATCGAATCTAGAGAAATCTAAACAAACCTGTCGCAGAATCTTAACCCCTTGCAATATCGCGTCAGACTCGTAGCAAAGATTTCAAATAGAATATAACAAATACGAACCCCTCTTAATTCCAGACGCGTCAAAATGACTCACTCCTGATTCCTTCTTTCCGCGATTATTAACAAGATAACAGACGTTTCTCTGATAAATTATTAAAGCAATTGATCTATCAATACGAAAACTGCATAAATCAATTAAATCCTCAACAGATGCACTCCGAAAGTTTCTATAAAAGAACGTCAAGAAGTCGATTCACCAGCTCGATAGTTCCAGCGTGAGATATTGCTTTTCTATCGCTGACCGTACTGCTTCCGAGTAAACCGCAGAATAAACCTGCCGATCGTATTCTCATTCTAACGAATCACGAACAACGAAACACCTTCGTTGCGCGCAGTTGCGAGAGAAGTCAAGCGGTTAATTCGACCATCGGAACGAGTCAGCCGAAAAAAAATCAGTATCTCGGCGGCAGCTGAAACTTTCTGCGAAATCCTCTTAGCACGCAATGTGTTAATTGGTCTCGAGCAAACGATGGGAAGCCCGATAGAGGAACGACGAGGGGGAGAGAGGAGGAGAGCGAGCGAAACAGGGGTGAGACGCGTCGAGGTGCACACGGCCGAACAAAGCCCAACACCGTTTCCAATTAGTCGAATGGGAGAATCGATCGGGCACGTAGCAGAGAGAACGGACTCACCGAATCCGGCGCGCGGCGCGGATCGTACACGGACTTGGCCCGACTCAAGAAAGTAACAATCGTTTCCGAGCGATCTGACGCGCACAAAGGGCTCGTTTCCATCGGAACGAGCAGCCGTCGAGCCCCGCGTTCGTTTATCACGAGGAGAAGCATTAAACGCGGCAACCGGCTAGAGAAAGACAGTGAAACAGGGGCGAGGGAGCCGAGGGAAAGGGAGAGAGAGAGAGAGAGAGAGTCTCTTCTCTCGCTTTGCCCCGGGAAAGCACCGGTTAGACGCTTTCGCGCAATCAAAGGCACTCGATTGCCGACGAGTGCGTTTCGGTTACGCCTCCGTCGACGGGACGGAAGCTGGAACCGGGACCGGCACCGCTTTGTTTCCTCCCGCGGAAACGGAAACAATTACGGCCCTTGTAGAAGAATTCCCTAAGAACCCGCTTTTTCTCCCTCGGTTCCTCTACTTTCCGCGGAGTCGCTTGTCTCTTCGGTTCCCGCGAGTTACGCTGATCGGGACGGGTTCGGAACGATGTTCCAGGGAATTTCGTTTGAATAATCGATCAGGGATGAGGAGAGATTCGTTTGAATGGGATTGTATCGATGATCGAAGTTGTACCAGAGTATTTCCATCGTTCGATCGGTATTGGAGCTGTTTCGATGGTTTTGTGAAATGCAGAGTTTCCTTCGAGTGTTTTTGATTCGTTTAACAGGTGTTGCTAATACTTCCGACTGAGGACGATATCAACTGTTTCGTTTCTCCGAGATTTGCCTCTGATATATTGATTGTTCTTTGTTAACGGATAATGCAATATACCGAATCAATTCGTTTAACACTTTGACTGCCGAGTATACATTCATCGAAACTCCTACGCGATCGAAGCAATTTTCTTAATAACGCTGAAGCTAAGTCAATATTCTTCATAACGATTGCTCTATCTTTCTAGTATCTCGCATCTAACAGAATTCAGTTTGTTCGTTTCATCACCGAGAAAAGTAATGTTTAAGTTTATGTGAATCATGGTGTCACCCGAATTCGGGTGAAATGGCAGCCAGTGTTAATTGTATTTACTACACAGATTTCTTCTAATAATAAAATCTCTCACATAGAAATTGGAGGTTCATGGTTAGCACATTCGATGCCAGCGATAGTCCATCAAGCACAAAACAAAGGTTTCCATCGCGTTAATGAAAGTATGGTGGTTTACAGGCGTGGACACGATGCCAAGAAACCGAAGTTCCTTGACGAAACTCGAGGCCCTGATGGTGCTGTGCTTGACGGTGCTGGTCCAGCTGGACGTGTGCTGGTGCTCGCCGTCCCACAGGAGCAGACACCACGCGGACATGTCGCACGAGGACGCGAAGGGTTTCAGAACGGGCGAGGAGCTGCCAAGACCGGCCGCCCTCAATTCGAACGACGATCCGCTGGTAGTTCAGACCAGGAAGGGCAAGGTCAGGGGTAAGACCATGACTGCCACCACGGGGAAGGAGGTCGACGCCTGGTTCGGGATACCTTACGCGCAGAAACCTCTCGGTAGGTTCCACCTACTCGGGCTGGAAGGCGGAACGCCCTGAGCTATCTTCTCCATTCCTAGATACATATATATGAATTTCAAATTTCAACTCGGCTAACAGTTTCATTTTCTTGGTGACATCGAATAACAAACACCCGTGCTCCGAATCCTTGAATCACAATAATCAATCTATTGGTAATTCTACGCGTTCACAAATAGAATTTTCTACAATTCAATACAGTTACAAACTTGAGTATTAACCCTTTGCAGTCGAAAGTTTTTCACTGGAAATATTTAACAGACGACACTGTTTGAAACTAATTTGACGATAATTCACAGGTAAATTAAGCGACGAAGTAACTTTATTGAAATATTACCTATAGCGATACAAAGTTTCATTTAAAATACTAAATATTCAATTTTATAGTTATGTCAAATCAAGCGATTCAGAGTCACCTCTCGAGTGCAAAGGGTTAACACATTGCGTACCGGTAACGAGAAATCTCGTTCATATAAAGACACTTAGCTATAACTTCGCTAATTACCACAGCATCCAAGAAAATATATTTAATTCGAATTGATTATCTATTTAAAATATATTACATAACAAAATATCTAAGTTTTTCTATGTATAGTGATATAAGCTGACCTCAGTGAAAATTGCCATCACAATTCAGTTTTCTGAAAATTATCCGGTACGCAGTATGTTAATTAACCTTCTACTGCATTCCAAATACAACTGAGTCATTAAAGAAAATCTGTTCGACAGCAGCTTCTCGCGTTAATCTCCGTCTACGTAATTCAATCTCCATTTACAAGCGACTTAACGAATCCCTTATCTCGCTTAATGCTGTGCGCACAATAGGATTTCTTTTTGTTTAAGCCGGCGTAAATATCAGTCCTCGAGTCACGAAAACAATGAAAATGGGTGTGCCCGTGCACGCGCGATCGGCGTCGCTGCTGGCGGCCATTGCGGTCAGCCATGTTTAACCGACGCCGATCAGCTGTACCGCCGAAACAATGTGCCGCGCCGTTATCGCCGGACATTTCGCGCGTTAACCGATTGGCATTAAGCAGTTGAACGCGCACCGAAGTCCCCGCGATTTTCCCTTCTTTCGAATCCCATTATACTCGAGTGTTCGCGAGTTTCGGCCTCTCGCCACCGTCGAGGGGGAACCCCTGCTAACGCTGCTTGACTACGACGGCGCTTCTTTGCTCGGCTCGATTTCCCTCGGCCTACGCAGCTCGAGACTCAGGGAACAAATGTTTCGACTAGACCTTCCGATTGTTGTAAATCTTCGTCGGCTCTTTGGACTTCCTTTGCAAAGTTCCTTGAGCCCCTCGTCCTAATCGACGTATAAAAGCGCTTTATTTTTCAAAAAATGTTCCCCCGGCCGAAGGGTGGATGTACAATGGCGCCTTTGTGGCGAAGGCTGTTGAGTAAATTAATATTAGTTTAGCATGACTAGACGCGAGTATACAAGTAAATATATAATTAATCGTGGCTATGATAAATATAATATAGTATTAACAATAGAGAAAAAAAGAAAAAAAAGAAAATAAATCATAATAAATAAATAGACGCACAAAAAAGAGATAGCATATATAAGTAAAGAATTAAATTGATAAATAAATTAGTACAAAGATAGCTAGTTACATGGTTAGGTACATAGGTAATTAGTAACATAGCCATTTCCGGGGTCTTGCACTATACTATATTAAATACTTACCTCATCCGGAAATCTACTCTTCGATTTTTCCTATTCAATTCGGAAGACTTCGTTAACCTCTCCTCTTGTTATTTTGAAGTAGCTTCACTTGTCGGTAAAAGCTTCTAGTTTCTTTGCGAAATACTTAATTTCTAGTTCTTAATTAGAGTTCCAATACAATAATCCACTATATAAGTTCGATATTAGTCCTAATAAATTTGATAAACGAGTGGGATGATTTCATTGCTCGCCACGTTCCCATTCAATACACGTCTCATTTATTTCTTCGTGTTTCATTGCGTTAGTCGACGAATCATGTACAATGGCGGATGGACGATCGGGACGCGGAATTCTGTTGCAGGACCGCTGCGATTCCGGCACCCGAGGCCGGCTGAACACTGGCCGGGGGTCCTGAACGCGACCACGCTGCCGAACAGCTGCGTGCAGATCCTGGACACGGTGTTCGGCGACTTCTCGGGCGCCACCATGTGGAACCCGAACACGCCGCGGAGCGAGGATTGCCTTTACGTGAACGTGGTCGCGCCACGCCCTAGGCCTACCAATGCCGCTGTTATGGTATGGATATTCGGTGGTGAGTTCCAGCTGACACCTGTTCCGTCCGACCGGTAGATCGTTTGCTGAGAGGTGGATCGTCGTCGCGCGTCTCACTTCGACGAGTTTTTCCAAATCTGTGATTGAAATTGAGAGAAAGAATGTTCGTCGCGGGTACCGTGTAACTATTCTAACGGTGGTTCATATAACAGTCGATAACAATATACGGTAGCCTAACGAAGGCGATAGATATTGGAGAATACACCAGTCCGAGGTTCAAGTAAAATCACAAAGATCGACGATGGAACGTACAAACGTGAGGATATCAATTTTAGTCATAACTTTGGGAACATTCGCGACGCGCCGGTTCTATCGCGAAGACGGTCGCCTCTTCCCCGGGATTATTTTCGCCCCAGTGACCGGTTGTTTCTAAGCGAGCAGCTTTTTGCGAGTAAATGTCCCCGTGTCGGTCTAAGAAACCGGCGAACGCCGGTTCTTCCGGGGGTTCGCGCGGTGAAAAGAACCGAGGGAAACTCCTGCCAAGAGAAATCTTGAGAACCGAGAGACCTAAAGAAAGAAGGGGAGAGAAAGAGAGTGAGAGTGAGAGAGATGGAATCGCGCGACAAATCGTTGTAGGTGGCTTTTACTCCGGATCGGCGACCCTCGACGTTTACGATCACAGAACCCTGGTGTCGGAGGAGAACGTGATTCTGGTCTCGATGCAATATCGAGTCGCCAGCCTGGGTTTCCTCTACTTCGGAACGTCGGACGTACCTGGGAACGCCGGTCTGTTCGATCAGATGATGGCCCTTCAGTGGGTCCGCGACAATATCGCTGCCTTTGGCGGAAATCCTGACAACGTGACCCTGTTCGGAGAGAGCGCGGGCGCCGTTTCCGTTTCTATGCACCTACTCTCGCCTCTGTCAAGGTGCATACCTTTTCTCCTTAGTCACTTTATGCAGTTCGTTTACTTTCATTCTCTTGTCATCTACTCTAGTTCTCTTTTCGTTTCGTCTCTTCATATACTTCTGTTTTCGTTTGCCGAGTTCCTTTTCTTCGTTTCGTTGTATTCTTGCTTGGCCAATGTCTCAGAGTATACAGCTAACTTGACGAACGTTTTGCGTGCTAAAGTCTGCATACAGTCTATTAGATTACCGAACTTTGCCCACTCATATCAACGATACACCACTCATACCACAGAACGAAGATCCTCTAACATTCCAGCCAGAACACGCCCGAACAAGCTCCACTAACGTTCCCGATTATACGTACAATCTCACTTGACCACCCGAAGCAATTACCAACAACGAGAACCCCGTGTTTCAAACTTTCAAAGATGCAACAGCTCCCACATCGCACACTTCAAACCTTCAAAGTTCATCCCTTTACTCGATACACTGATCAGTGCTCGCTCCGATCCCGCCGGTCTCTGATCTGTCCTCCCGGACTGTTTTTCCTGCGTTCCAGGCACCTGTTCAGCCAAGCGATCATGCAGTCCGGCTCGCCGACGGCGCCCTGGGCGATCATCTCGCGCGAGGAGTCGATAGTCCGCGGTATCCGGCTCGCGGAGGCGGTCGGTTGTCCTCACGATCGCAACAACCTGCAGGAGGTGATCGATTGCCTGTTGACCAAGGACCCGCTGGACCTCGTCAGGAACGAGTGGGGCACCCTGGGTATCTGCGAGTTCCCGTTCGTGCCGGTGATCGACGGCGCGTTCCTCGACGAGACGCCGCAGCGGTCGTTGGCGACCTCCTCGTTCAAGAAAGCGAACATCATGATGGGCTCGAACACCGAGGAAGGTTTCTACTTCATCATCTACTATCTGACTGAATTGTTCCGCATTGACAGTCCGGAGGACGTGAAGGTGAGCAGGGAGCAGTTCGTCAGCGCGATCACCGAGCTGAACCCGTACGTCAGCCAGCTCGGCAGGCACGCGATCATTTACGAGTACACGGACTGGCTGCACCCGGACGACCCGAACGCGAACCGCGACGCCCTCGACAAGATCGTCGGCGACTACCAGTTCACCTGCAACGTGAACGAGTTCGCCGGACGGTACGCCGAGACTGGGAACACCGTGTACATGTATTACTACAAGCACAGGTCAGCTTTCGACTCAACCCTCTGTAGACCCATGTAACTTTAACACTAGGTTTACGGAACCCGTCAGTTTGACGGATATTGAATTTTTTAAACATTATTTAGTAATACTTTCAGTCGATCTTGATTTGTGCAATTGTGTAAATACGCATTGCAATACTCTGGTTCTGAAGCTACAATTTTAGCGATTTATATAAACCAACACGTAGTTCAACTCTAGGAACTCTAGGAGCAATAAAATAAAGTATAGAATAAATGTCCGTAAATCTAGTGTTAAAGTCACATATCAGTATACTGGCATCTTGTTGATTTATTTCATTTTGTACTCAAAGTGGCGAATAAAGTTAAGTGATCAGTTAACTTCAACTTTTATACGTTCAGGCGTGGAGTTTAACGTCATTGTAACTTGAAAGTTACAAAATATATTCGTTTGATGAAATTATTGAAACTATTGAATAATGTGGACATTTATGAATTTTGCTCTGCATAGATTTTGTTACAATCATGAATAAAAATCGGCCCATAGAGGGTTAACACGTTGCGCGCCGGCCCCGCGATAATGCGGTATTTTTTGTCTACCGTTTAACCCTTTGCGGACGAATGTCGGCATTTTGCTGAGGTCGAACTTCCATGTTTGGAATACTCAGTTGTGAACAAATGATTTGACCTTTTGAACTCTGTAGGCTCCAAAATTGCACCAGTTGTAATATTGAATATTTTAATGAATCAAAGAAACTGCCCTAAAATTATTAGATTTTCCACACATCCAAATTTTGTACTGAGAAGGAAACATTCAGCGGATAATTCTAAAATCATAGAAAACTGGTAGAACTGTTAAATCAAGCGAGATGTGTCGCTGTTTGCTCAGGTCCGCGAACAACCCCTGGCCAAGGTGGACAGGCGTGATGCACGCGGACGAAATCAGCTACATCTTCGGGGAGCCTTTGGACCCCTTGAAAGGCTACACGCAAGAGGAAGTGGCCCTGTCCAAGAGGATGATGAGATATTGGGCTAACTTCGCGAAAACTGGGTAAGCGAAACCGCCTTTGTGATTTTCGCTTTCAAAATAAATCCTTGAACAAACGGATTTCACTCTGAACCTTAGAAAGATAAACTTAGATAAACCTTAGAAGCATCTAACAGATAAACTGTATGTTCTCTGCATTCGAATCTTTTTAATAATCATTTGAGCATCATCGGTGCGCCTATTTTACTCTTGAAATCGAAGTGTCAACCACGGTGAAACAGTATTAACCCTTAACACTAGAACTAACTATTTTGAAAATAAATAGTTTCATTAGACTACCATAATGGATGTCTAATGAAACTGAAAATAATCTATTGTTACAGTTTTCATAGGAATTGCATATTAATCGTATTAAATGCTCGGTAGTTCTACTGTTAACGGACCGGAAGTATTTCAAGTTGACCTACGGAAAAATACTGTAACGTAGATAACAAGCGAAAGGAAATTCACAGAACTGGCACGGTACTTAATTCCATTGTAAATATTGCAAGAACAACAGTGAATGAAAATATTAAAATTCTTGGGACCAGTAACTAAGTGCCACGTCGCTTACGCGTTGCTCCGTTAAGGGTTGACAGAAGGGAAAAGAATAGAACTCGAACGGATTTTTTCCATCTCGCGTAGCGAATGTCCGCGAGACAAACCCCGTTCCTCTCGATTAGCGAAAAGTGCTTGAAATTTTCAATTGCCGAGAGAGGCAAAGCGAATAGAGTCGTTTGGTTAATGAGATACGCGACCGTGACCAACAATTGTGACAGGGACCCGAACGTGGGCGACGTCGAGTCACGGTCCGCGCCCCACTGGCCGGCGCACACTGCCGCGAAGAAAGAGTACCTGACTTTGGACACGAACAGCTCCGAAATCGGCAACGGGCCTAGAGTGAAGCAGTGCACGTTTTGGAAGAAATACCTTCCTCATCTTCTCTCCGCTACATGTGAGTACCCTCTTCCTTCTGTCGCCAAGCCTGGCTACTTGTAAATGTCTCTGCACCTCAGAAACAAAATGATGATTACCGTAAATCAAGTGTCTTCCACCTAACTTAACCGTTTGAGTGCTGAGGAGCGCTCAGCATAATTTTCTTACTGTGTTTTCCCAGAAATAAATCAAAGTAAATTTGTTTGAGTAAATGTTATTTTTTGATATTTTTTCGTAAGAACACAATATTCGTGATCTCATTAGATAACTACTATTAATCTTTTTGCATACACACAAAATCACTTCGGCATTTTTGGTAAATCCACAAAAGTTCCTTAGCATCCAAACGGTTACAAGTTACTTTCAACTTCATTCGATCATGAATCTCTCCAAAGCAACGGATGATACAGTTGTTACTCCACTTGTATTCATCGTTTAGTAACATTTATTAATATCTGCCCAATACTTCTGTAATTTACACTATTGTACACGAAAGACAGATCATTGAATAAACGATGATTATTGTTACACTCGGATCTCAACTTAACTCTTCGGGGCACGAGTTCTAAAGGAACATTCCACTCATGCACGAGTTATATTAATTCTGTTCTACAAATATTCTACAAATACAGTCGATTAGAAAGGTTTCACTCGAAAAGTGTTTGGTTATCAGAATAGAACTATTATCATCGAGTTATCTGAATATTACGAAGATGACAAAAATCCTATTATGCCTCGGAGAGTTAAATCCACATTTCTCGAAAGTGTGAGTACGTGAAATTGCCTCGCAGTTGTCAGTTCACTTCGTTTCCTTTCCTCGACGATAAATTTCCAAGTTCCCGATCGACGCTCCCGAGCCACGAGGATCGCGTTCCTCCGGTGTTCCGTCGTTCCCGGCGTTTATCAAAGTTTCACCGGCTGCGCGTTAATGGCGACGGGAGGATCTTGCCCCCGACAATCCGTTCGGAACGCGATTATTCAAATTCGAAAGCGACGGAGCGGGTCCCCTTCGATCGGTAGATCGTCCACCGTGACACCTGTTGAGTGGAAAATACGTCTCGCGGAACCGCGCGGCGGTTCTCAATCGACGGTCGATTAGCGTGCGCGAATCTTCGCCGAGAACTTCAGGATTCGCCCATTAAAAGCCCATCAGCAGCTTTATCAATGAGCCTCGTCGGAAAGATACTTAATTATTTTCCTGTGAAGCTTCCCAGCTAGACGAGCTTGAAATTGTTCCACTTTTCTAACGCGTGGTGAGATAGTTTTTAACCTACTAAACTTAAGTGAGATTACTTACACTCTTCATTGGCGATTATTATCGTGCAGGTCATTAGGTCAAGTTTCTTGTTTCTTTAACCCTTTGCGGACGAATGTCGTTTCGGTCAGATGAAATTTTCATATTCGGAATACGAAGTTGCAACGAATGACTTAATTACTTGAATAGCAAGTGAGCAGTGTGTAGTTCCGTTTTTTACTATTGTTGAAGCATTCGATGTATAATTTAGCTTCATACGTTGCAAGCTTTGTGTTTAAAGAGTCTTCGTCCGCGAAGGGTTAAGATTGCGTGTTGAAGGTTAAATGATCGTTGAGAACCGATTGAATTATGATCGAAGTTATTAAAGGAAGTTATTGACTCGTTACTTTGACAATTGTTATCGCAAAGTTCATCAAGGAATCTTGTTAAAGAATATACCTTCTAAATCAAAGATTTCGTTCGTAAAATAGAGGAAGACTTATCGTGAATAATTCGAGGAACACGCGCAACCCCGTGAATAAAGGATTTTCCAGAATCGTAAGCTGGTTGGCTGACAGAGAATTCAACGGGAAACGGACTTCGTACAAATGTTTCCCTGCGAAACGTTGCCGGTTGAATGTTCAAGGGACCAGTAAATAGTAAATGCTTAATTCGATGATTAAATAATTGCCAGCGGGTGAAATATTCAAACTTCAAACTCGCGTTTTGCAACGAGCAGCGAGCGAGGAGCGGCGAAATCCTAGCCGCTTTGTTTGCCAGCATCGGCCGGCGCGTTTAGCGATGTTCATTTTCATCGAATTAAATCTCTTTCATTAAAAATAAAAGATACTCGTCCCGAACGCGCGTGCGTGGGGCTCGTGTGTCGGCCGACGCGTGAAACGCTTGGGGTCCGCACGAAATACGGATGCGGTCGTCAAGAGGGGCTAACGAGGAACGTAACGAGGCTCGGCCGGTCTGCGTGAATTAAAAACGGAAAATCCCGGCGCCGTTTCAGCCGCGGACAGGTGCGAGCGGTGGATTGGCGGAAAAGCCGCCTAAAGAGGCGCGATTGAATCGTTCGCCGGCGAATCAGCACTCATTCAAATCCTATGCATTCGAAACGAGTTCCTTAACGGAATGGAAACTGGAAAATCAAGATCGTCGACGATTGCTCTCACAAATATATCTCGGCTAATAGAATTGAATACGTTCGCCGCGTCTTCGATAACGTTCATTGAATTCTTTAAAAATGATTTCTAGGTATATAACCCTTTGCAGTCCAGAGGCGTTTCTGAGTCGTCAATTGATCTGACAGCAGAATTGTCAAGTTTGATATTTAATATCAAATTTTGTATAATTCATCGATACGTGAGATATCGATGAATTATAAGAAAATAGATTTCTTTCTCAACGAACGTGCGATTTCTCGCTAAATCAATTTCATAAGTCATCTGCATCTCATCGGAAAATATTGAATAAGTCCCAAAGCTTCTGAAGTGTGAAGGGTTAAAGAATGTGACACAGAATTCTAATGATAAAATAGTCGGCGCTTCAACCGTGCGATCGAATATTGCAGTGGCAACGAGCTGACACAGCAGAATTGTCAAGTTTGATATTTAATATCAAATTTTGTATAATTCATCGACACGTGAGGTATCTGCATCTCATCGGAAAATATTGAATATGTCCCAATGAAGAGCTTCTGAAGTGTAAAGGGTTAAAGAATGTGACACAGAATCGAATATTGCAATGGCAACGAGCTTCGACGTTCCTAATCAAAATTTTAGGACACAATTAGCCAGTATTTAGGTCTTCGATGCGCAATTCAGTTTCTTATGGGGAGAGTTTCGAGATGTTGGAACAATCCTCATTTGCGAGGGGTCGAGAACGGAAATGAGGTAAACGGCGGAAAGCGCGTCGTCGAAACGGCGAGGGCGTATAGAAGAAATGGCGCAGAGTCGTCAGGCTCGCTCGGTTCCCGGGGAAGAAATCGCCGGAGTTCCCGCAATGAGAAATCACTCGCGGGAGCAAGGTTGGAGGTCCACTTCCCACGAAAGTTTCCGAATGAACCGTGTTAACCCGCAGCCAGCTGCTCGAGCCACCGCTTTTTCCGCGCGCGGTGCGGTTTTGAGCTCGGTCCAACGGGGAAGACGTTCGCCGGAAGTGAGAGGCGGCCGATAAAATTCTCCCGGCTTCCCGGCTGCTATCCCGGATCACGTTTCACGGCCATTTTACTCCGCGAGCCGGAAGAACTCGGTCGTTTCACGGAACGTAAACAGAAGGTCCACTTCTTGTTCCCCGTGCGAGCCAGCTGGGGAATTTCTCGGGGTGGAAATCGATTTTTAAATTTAGAACCTTTTCGAAGATCGCCTGGGAAGACCAGTGACGCGAGACGAAGCTTGTTTGCGATAGTGAATCAATGGGAAAACGGTAATTTCGTGTTATTATAGAATACAACGGCTCGTAATGCATTCGTTCGGAATTAGAGCTTGAATCATTGTGCCAAATTGGACACATATGTTCCATTGTCAGTCTGTTTCTATTATTTTCTATTATCATCACTGTTCAATGCAGATGTGTATTCCGTTTAACGCGACACTGCAAATCCAAGATTGTCAGACGTTAAATCTGAACTCGTTACGCAAAATTAGATAATACATTATTTTTCATTGTCATCGTCACTGTTCTCAGATATATGTTCTGTTTAACGCGACACTCGCAAATCCAAGATCGTCAAATCTGAAATCGTTACGCAAAATTAGGTGATATATTCTATTATTTCATTATCGTCATCACTGTTCAACGGAAAAATAGATTCCGTTTGAAATAACACTCGCAAATCCGTTCAAGATTGACAGCCTTATCGTCGAACTTAAGCGAAACCACCTTTGGAATCTGGATCGCCATTACACGATGATTTCTAAGAAGACTTGATCCGCTTCTCGCGAATCCGGTTCGTCCATTATGCAGATCCGATTATTGGCCGCGATCCCCGTCGCCATGAGGAAAGAGACTTAGCCGCGCCCCGAGTGTCTCGAAAGACGCAGTCCCTTCCGAAGTTAACGGCTTCCTCCCCGGAAGACCGCGGTCCCGCGTAGAACCGATGAATTCCGGTCGATTTCGAGTCCGTAGCGTATATTAAAGGGGACGAAGAGAGTCGTCGAAGGAACTCGCGAGCGGCGAAGTCGTTTTTTCCACTCGGGAGAGACGGAGACCGCTTCGCTTCTTCGATGAGCCGTTTCGAGCGTCGAGTGGAACGCTCTGGGAGCTAGGCACACTTGATAGGAGCCGTGAATAAATGATGGACGCTTAAGAAGCTGGTTTATCTTCCTTCCGACCAGCTAGAAACGATAATCGTCTCGCGCGTTCGTTCGTATTACCTCGAGACACTGATTCCCTCGTGTTTTCGTGCCTTTCTTCTCCTTGCTTTCGAAACTGTTATCGTCAATTATCTTGTCCTCGAAAGGAAAGAAAATAACTTGCGTCTGCATACACTATTTCCAATGAAATAACAGATATTAAATAAATACCAGATTTACAGACATTGTACACTTTGTATAAAAGGATACTAGAATTAATTTAAAACTACCCTTAACCAGTTAACTGTGTTTGACGAGTACATATGTCATCGTAAAGCTTGACACGATACTAATTCTTTCATGAATTCCTTATTTTTTCACATAAACGTGTAATTCTTTGTTTCGCTTTCGACGAGTACACGCTCTATTTTTTCATTTTATTGCGAGAACGAGAGGTTCCAACTAAATTCCACAGTTAATATCCCT